ACAGAGTGAGACTCCAACTCAAAAAAAAAAAAAAGTTACCTGTTTTTTTGTACTTATTCCCAACCTCTGTTCCCTGCAGCCTGGGTGGGGGAACGTGTTTTTTTCTGCCCTGACTGAGGACCCGAGACCACTCTTTATTCCTCCCATCAGCCTCGCCCTGCAGAAGCTCTTCCGCCCTGCGTTCCTCCAGTACCAGTTGATGCTATCTCTCGACACAGGCAGCGACCTGCAAGTCCTGGGACATCTTGCATCTTTCTGTCTGGGAAGTAGTCTGGGACCCAAGGAAAGGTCATCAACCCCTTTCCAGAACAGGTGGGTCCCTCGTGCCCATCTCAAACACATTCCAGGACACACCCTGGAACCTACCCTTTCTTCATCCCCACCCTTTTTAAAGCTGGCTCTGCTTCCCCTGAGAAATCCAGGTTTTGGTGGGAGGAGGAAAGGCAGATACAATCAGAGGTGAGGCAGGGAGGGGCCCGCAGAACTGGCTTACTGGTACTGTTTCCTGCTGTGATGGCTCCCTCACCCTCACTCAGGCTGGGTGGGGAAGTCAGTTACAGACAAGATGTCCCAGTATCTCAGTCATTCTCCACTCTCTCCCCTTGGCAGCCCTTCACCTAGGTATCATGCAGGGATACAGGATCTAGTGGACACAGATGATGCTGGACTGATGGTGTATTCACAGCCACAGAGGCAGAAGGCAGGCGACATGCATGTGCTGAGCTGTGAGCTTATTCCTGTAGGAAGGGCCCTGGGTTTCTCCAAAGGGTGGTCATAGCAGCAGCCAAGTCCCTGGAATCTTTGCTCAGTGGCTTGGCATACCGGGCATCTACCCCACATGCTCCAGAGACTATCTCACCCTGCATGTGGAGCAAGAATTTTGCTTGACAACTGGGGAGGGGACTGCCCCACAGTAGAAAGATGAGGAGGGCCTAGGAGCCTCAGGCCCCAGTTTTGCTGAGGGGCAGTTCCACAGTTCTCAATGTGAGCTGGAGAAGTACTGAATACAAACCTGTTGCTGGCAATCCCACCTCAACAACCCACCTCAAAACCTCTAGCAGCTCACTCTCCACACACTACAGAGGTGGCCACAGAGGTGAGAATGAGTAAATCAAATCAACGACCAGTTAAAAGTGTTTATTTTTAAACGGGAAGGAAGAAGGGAGTGACACAGAGGCAGCTTTTGGCACCTTCTTTCCAGTCCATCACCCCCATGTCTGCCCCAACACAAAGCACTGGCAGGAGGGGCTGCAGGGCAGAAAGTCACAAAATCCATCACAGAGAGATCTGTATAGCCCTGGAGAGGGGGAGTCAAGAGTCTGTCCCAGCTCCCTTGTCCTGGAGCAGCGTTAGAGCTCGGGGGCATAGGGCTCCCCGGTGGGTGAGGGCACCCGCAGCTCAGCATCGTGCCTGACCACGGTGAAGAGTCCCACCACTGCCAGCAGAGCCATCACCATGACGGCAGAGCAGATGCTGAACATGTTCCGAGTGCCTGTTTTTCGATCACTGTCATGGAGGACAAGGAGCCCTAGGCAGGCCAGTAAGTGCAGGGGTACCCGGAACCAGTTGAGAACACCAGTTTGCTCTGTCTCAGGGATCACCTTTCTCCGCAGGAAACTCATGCTGGGAAAGTACAGCCCACAGGCCAACTCAATAAGTAGGAAGGCTATGAAGGACTCCACTGGACTCTCCTGGCCTGGGTTGGTGGAGAAAGTCAACATGAAGAGAGAGAAGACAACGATGAGGACGGCAAGGGAGAGGAGGTGCATGGGCTGAAGGTGGTACCTCTTGGAGGTGGCGATACGGTACAGAGAAGAGCCCAGCAGGCTGGCTGCCATGAAGCTGGAGAAGACGATGCCCAAAGGGGCCCCATGTGGGTCCAGCACAGGTGTCCACAGGAAGACAAAGATGAAGATGACGCTCTCAAACAGGGCTTGAATGGTGCCCAGCAACAGCACGCGGCGGTCTGATAGGAGGCAGCGCAGGCCCCCAGCACAAGTCCTTGAGAAGGCACGCTGCCGGTCATAGTTCTCCCCCCAGTTTCGAAGGGCCAGGGCCCCAGCTAGAGCCAGGAGAGGGATGGCGGCCACAAAGGGTGCTACAGGCCCCAGTCCCATCCAGCTAGCCACAGCCTCGGCTGCCACACCTGCTGCTACAGCCAGCACATGGTTCCAGAAGGCAGCTCGGGCAAAGGTAGCTGGGATCCACTCGGCAGGGAAGTCATGCCGCTCCACGTGCTCATGGACGTACCAGGCCTCGAAGGCTGAGAAGAGCAGAGCTGTGGACAGCCCACCAAGTGCTCGGCCCACCAGCAGCACAAAGTAGTCCCGAGAAAGTTTGGTTAAGCAGCATAGAGAGTAAGTGAGGGAGAAGAGAACACAAGACTTCTTGCGACCCAGCCAATCCACAAGGGAGGAAGCCACTAGGCCAAAGAGGACTGTGGAGGCAAGGCCACAGACATAGAGGATGGCGATTTGACCCTCCAGGAAGTAGTAATGTTGATAGAGTTTATAGAGGTAGGGGGCCTGGAGCCAGTCAGCTGCCAGGGCCAGGAAGTAGACCTGATAGAAGTCCAGCTGAAACCGAAGGAAGGAGGGATTGCTGCATGCCCTTCCAGGGGGCTTAGCCCGGCATCTTGACAGCTCCAGCCCCAGGCAGGAGGCCAGGAGGCCTACGAAAGCGAGGTAGGCAGTCACCAGCATGGTGGGCCCCCGGACGACCTGGAGAGAGTGGGGGGAGGGGTCAGAGTCACATCCATTGCCCAGATAGCGCGGTCAAGGGGCTGGGTGTCTAAGCGGAAGGCAGCTCCACCCAACCCCCCCTGCCAACTCCACTCCCCCAGAGCTCAGACCGGAGGGACCAGTCGGGTGGGTGGGAGGAGTGGCCCCGCTGGAGCTGTCTCCTAGAACACTGTGGGGCAGGGAGGGGTAAGAGGAGAAGGGAGAGGACTGAGCATTCGCCCCACCCTTGCCTAGTGTCGCAAAGGGAGTCCCTGCAGTAATCCCGGTCCCGCAAGTTCTAAAGGGGCTACTGCCCTTTTCCACAGCAGCTTCTGCACACTTTTCTATTACCTCCCATCCTCGCCGGGGAGCCCGTTTTTGCCCTCAGTGTCTCGCCTCTGTCTCGGGCATCCCTCCCGCCGCGTGGGCCTCTCGAGTGGCTCCAGGGTCATGCGCGTGCATCAGATCCCCCACCCCAGGTCACGGGCACCTCCCTGCGCCCCCTAGCCCCCGCAGGGCGCCGCCACACCCGCTGGAGCCCCGCCCAGGCCCCGTCTCACCTGCTGCCCCGGTCCGCGGGGACGCTCCGGACACGTCCGGCTCCAGGCCGCCCGGCCGCCCTCCCCGCTCTAGCTCCGGCTCCGGCTCGGGTTCCAGCAGCGCGCCCGCCCCTCACGGCCTGCTTCCGGGAGCCGGGCAGGCCTCTGGCCGCCGCCATGATGGTCCCGTCACGTGACGGGGGCGCGGCGCTAAAGCCCGCCCCTGTCCCGCCTTCCCGCCCCACCCGGCGCGGAGCTCCGGTCTCACGGGGTGGGCTGGGCCGGGGAAGGGGCGACTCGGGGCCGCGCAGCTGCCGCTCCTGGTCTGGCCTCGTGCCACCCGCTCCTCGTGGAAGCTTTCGGGGCCACCCCGAATAAAGGCCTGTCTTCTCTCCTTTCTTCCGTGCAGTGCCCGGGAAGATGCCCGCAGTCTCGCAGAGCCACGGGCCGGAGCTTCCTAAGGGACAGCGCTGCCCTAAGCCGAGACGGGCTCTTGGGTTTGCCTCCTCTCCCTCTGCGGTGACCGCCAGGCAAGAAGTCAGTATGGCTCAGACACCTGAGGGAGGCGGTGTGGCGTAAAGAACTCGACTGCAGACGACTAAGGTTCAGTGCTGCCTCTGTCACTTACCAGCTGTGTGGCTTTGGGCAAGCTGCATAGCTTCTCAGTGTCCCAGTTTCTTTGTCTCAAGTCACAGGAGAGCAGTGCCCAAATAAGGCTGAAGTTCAGTGGCGGCACAGGGTTAAGAACTTCAGCACTGGAGCTGATCTCCCACCTTCTGCCACTTAAAAGCTGCCTTACCCTGGAACAGTTACCTAACCTCTCTCCAGCTTCGGTGTTATCTCCTCAAGAACCTCCACTGGCTTCCCATCTCACTGAGGGAAAAAGCCAAAATCTTTTTAGTGGCCTACAAATCTTTGTAATGACCCTCTGCCACTCCTCTGACTGCATACCCTACGAGTCTCCTTCCTACTCCATCTGTACTGGCTACCACCAGGGCTTTTGCACACTGTGCCCTGTACGTTCTTCTCCAAGACATCTGCATGGTCCCCTCCCTCACCTCCTCCAGTTCTGTGTTCACATGTCACCTGATCACAGAGGCCTTCCTTGGCCATCCTGTTTAAAATAGCAACTCCTGCCGGGCTCGGTGGCTCAGCCTGTAATCCTGCGCTTTGGGAGGCTGAGGTGAGTGGATTGCCTGAGCCCACGGGTTCGAGACCCGTCTGGGTAACTTGGCGAGACCTCATCTCTACAATAAATAAATAAATAAATTAGCCGGGTGTGGTAGTGCACACCTGTAGTTCCAGCTACTTGGAAGGCTGAGGCGGAAGGATCGCCGGAGCCCAGCAGGTCGAGGCTGCGGTGGCCGGGAGCAGCCAATGCACTCTAGTCTGGGCGACCGAGTGAGACTTCAACTCAAAAAGAATAAATAAATAAATAAATAAAAATAAAATAGCAACTCCACCACAGTAATCTACCTGGTCTCCTTCCAACTGTCTATTCTCCTGTGCTGCTTTTCCTCCACAGCACTAACACCATCTTGCACACTTATGTAATTCACTTGTTTATTTATTTACTATCTCTTCTCCTTACAGATTTTTAGCTGTTTTGTTGCCTGTGTTCCAAATACTTAAAGCAGTTATTGGCCAGGTGCAGTGGCTCAGCCTGTAATACCAGCTCTCTAGGAGGCCCAGGCAAGAGAACTGCCTGAGTCCAGAGGTTCGATGGCAGCCTGAGAAACTTGGTGAGACCTCGTCTCTACAATAAATCAAAAAATTAGCCGGGTATGGTGGCGTGCGCCTGTAGTTCCAGCTTCTTGGAAGGCTGAGGCAGAAGGATCACCTGAGCCTAGTCAGTCGAAGCTGCAGTGGCCATGAGCATGCCACTGTACTCGAGCCTGGGAGACAGAGTGAGATTCCAACTCAGAAAAAAAAGTCACTGATAATGTAATAAACAGTTCATAAATATTCTATGAATAAGTGAATAAATTAATCCATGTAAATTACTGTAAAAAGTACTGGCTCCAGCTGGGCATGGTGGCTTATACTTGTAATGCCAGCATTTTGGGAGGCTGAAGCAATAGGATTGCTTGAGACCAGCATGGGCAATTTGGCGAGACCTCATCTCTACAATAAATAAAAAAAATTAGCTGAGTATGATGATACACGCTTGTAGTTCCCGCCACTTGGAAGGCTGAAGTGGAAGGATCCCTTGAGCCCAGCAATTCGAGGGTGCAGTGGCCATGAGTGTGCCACTGCATTCCAGCCTGGGCAACAGAGTGAGACTCCAACTCAAAAAAAAAATACTGGCCCAAATTAACTGTTAATGCTATTGAACGGTTATTATGTAACTAAGCTCTGTTTTAAGAAGGCTTGGGTCAATGGCTATATATAAATTATCTCATTTAACTGTCACAACAACCCATATGGTGGGTACTATTATCCCCCACACTTGGAAAGGTTAGGTAACATGGTAAGAGGTAGAGTCAGAACTAGGATCCAGATCTTTCCAATTCCATGCTTACATGGTTCTTAAGAAGATTAAATGTGTTCACCTGCCTGCACAGGTGATTAGTAAGTGTTGGTTTTCTTTATATTAAAGCTTGGAGAGTGGAGGGTGGGAGGGTTTAGGGTTACCCTGGAGAAATACTTTCTTATGAAAAAGTAAACAGCTGATTTATGGTCTGCAAGTTCCAAAGTGCCTTCATCGCTAGTCAGCAAGCTACTGGAGAGTAGAAAGGAATAATTGTTTCTATGCTTTCATCTAGAAACACTAAGATTTAAAAAATCATGATTTTTGGCTGGGTGCAGTGTGGCTCACGCCTATAATCCCAGTGCTCTATGAGGCAGAGGCAGGGGAATTGCTTGAAGTCAGGAGTTCGAGACTGGGCTGGACAATGTAGAGAGACCCCCCCCCTTCCCCCATCTCTACAAAAATAAAAAATGAACTGGGCATGGGGGCATGTGCCTGTAGTCTCAGCTATTCAGGAGGCTGAGGTGGGAGGATTGCTTGAGGCCAGAAGTTCAAGGTTGCAGTGAGCTACGATTGTACCACTGTACTCCAGCCTGGGTGACAGAATGAGACTGTCTTATAATAATAATTTCCCCGAGGTCACACAGTAAGTGAGGTCCTGGGGTACCCAGCTGCCCTCCATACCAGTCCTGGGCTTCAGCCTTTTGAACTCATGACAGCAAGTCTCTGAACTCTTGATGGTCTTTTCTTTGGAGGTGGAAGTCATCCTGGATGAAAGCAATGGATGGAACAGGATGACCTTACATTCTTTGCCTTCTGTTTCACAGGATGGAAACCAGTTTTCTACCTTTAACGTGCTACATTTTGCTCGGAAGCACCTGATAGAGAGAGACCAAAAGCAAGATTACATTATTTTGGATTACTCGAAATATGTATATTCTTTTTTTTTGAGTTGGAGTCTCACTCTGTCACTCAGGCTGGAGTACAATGGCACACTCGTGGCCACTGCAGCCTCGATCTGCTGGACTCAGGTGATCCTTCCACCTCAGCCTTTCAAGTAGCTGGAACTACAGGCATGCACCACCATGCCCAGCTAATTTTTTTATTTACTGTAGTGATGAGGTCTTGTCAAGTTGCCCAGGCTGGTCTCGAACTCAGCTCAGGCAATCCTCTCACCTCGGCCTCCCAAAGTGCTGGTATTATAGGGGTGAGCCACCGCACCCAGCCAGAAATATGTATATTCTTGAAGGTTCTCCTGGATCCTCAGAGCTGTGATGCATAGCTGGGAAAGGTCCTAAACACGGGGGATGTGACAGCTAGGGACTGGAGAGGAAAAAGGGTGACCTGGCAGCGGGCAGGGAGGGCTGGATCTGTGGGTGGGAAGTTGCAGGGGGAAGTTCTGGCTTTCAGGGCAGGTGGGGAGGATGTTCTGGGAGTTACTAGCTTGGATGACAGAGTGAGACCTTGTCTCTAAAAAAACAAAAAATAATTATTGACTTTTTTCATTTTTGTTCCTTCTACTTCTTCCTTTCTGTCCTTTTTCTTCCTTTCTCTGCTGAAATATTTAAAATCCAATAGTTCAGCCGGGCTCGGTGGCTCAACCTGTAATCCCGCACCTTTGGGAGGCTGAGGTGAGTGGATTGCCTGAGCCCGCGGGTTCGAGACCCACCTGGGCAAATTGGCGAGACCTCATCTCTACAATAAATCAAAAAATCAGCCAGGTGTAGTAGCGCATACCTGTAATTCCGGCTACTTGGAAGACTGAGGCGGAAGGATCGCCAGAGCCCAGCAGGTCGAGGCTGCGGTGGCCGGGAGCGGCCACTGCACTCCAGTCTGGGCGACAGAGTGAGACTCCAACTCAAAATAAATAAATAAAAATAAAATCCAATACTTCAATCCGTATTTCAGCATGCACCTCTAGGAAATAAGAACTTTCTCATTACATGACACTAGTGCCATTTTTATGACTAACAAAGTTAACACTGATCCCTTGGTATGGTAAATTCCCAGTTTATAATTAAATGTCCCCAGCTGTTTTTATCTTTGGGTTGTCCATATCGGGAACCAAACAATGACCATATGTTCCATGTAGTAGTTGTCTTTTTTTTTTGTCAGTATCTCACTCTGTCACCCAGTTTGGAGTGTAGTGGCATGCTCCCGGCCACCAAGCCTTAACCTGCTGGGCTCAGGCGATCTTTCCGCCTCAGCCTTCCAAGTAGCTGGAACCACAGGCACGCATCATCACGTCCAGCTAGTTTTTTTCATTTGTTGTAGAGACGAAGTCTCTCCATGTTGCTCAGACTGATCTCGAACCCCTGGACTCAGGCAATCCTCTCTCTCCTTCGCCTTGGTAGTTGTCTTTTGAGTCCCCTTCTCACTGTGTTCCCCTAGTCATTGATTAGTTAAAGAGATTGGGTCAGATATCCTTTAAAATGTCCTACATTCCGGACGTGTTTACTTACTTCCTTGTTATGTCATTGTATTTGTTCCTCTATCCCCTGTATTTCCTGTTAAATGGAAGTTAGCACTAAAGGTTTGTTAGATTCCTGTTCAGTTGTTTTTGTTGCTTTGTTTGGCAAGAATCCTTCATAGATGGTGCTGAGTGATTCAGATTGTATCACATCAGGAGGTGCACAGTGCCTGACTGTGTCACTTTGAGTGATGCTGAAATTCATCAGTGGGGCTAGGTTGTCGCAGCTTGATTCCTCCATTGTAAAGTTCTCCAGCAACCATTGTCCTTGGTTTCATCCATTAGATGATTCTTGCTTTGATCAATTATTTCATTAAGAGTTACAAAATGGTGATGTTTTTTCTAAATTCATATTCCTTTCACATTTGCTGGAATTCTTCTGTAAATAAGTGATTGGCTGAGAGTGGTGATTCATGCCTGTAATCTCAGCACTTTGGAAGACTGAGGTAGTGAATCACTTGAACCCAGGGATTCAAGACCAGCCCAAGCAACATAATGAGACCTAGTCTCTACAAAAAAAGAAAAAAATTAGCCATATGTGGTGGTGCATGCCTGTAGTCCCAGCTACTCAGGCGGCTGAGGCAGAAGGAATGCCTGAGCCTAAAAGATCAAGGCTGCAGGGAGCTGGAATTGTGACACTGCACTCCAGCCTGGGTGACAGAATGAGACTCCGTCTAAAAAAAAGCCTCCATCGCATCAAGTAGCTGGAACCACAGTCGTGAAAAAA